ACTCTGCGCTAACCTGAAACGCAGCGCTCCAGATAAGGGGCGTACAGGCGTGCTTTCTGGCCCAAAATCAGCCATTTATGGCCTTAAAAAAATAGAGAAATTGTTTTACTGCCATGAAAAAACGAATATGGCTCCTGCCACTTTAAAGGAAGTACAGTAACAAGATAATTAAAAATTGTTCATTTAAAAATGGAAAATACGATGTCGTCACATGGTAACGTACCTGACTAATGTAATTCAACTCCACGTTCCAAAATGTGTAATGTTGATTAATGTACAAACATGATCGAGTTGACCACGCAAATATAGCTTTGAAATCTTTACGACAGCATTGACTCATCAGATAGAAATTAGCCAACTAATCCTTATTATCATATTCATTTACCAGTTCTAAGAACTTAGGAGCGAAAAATGAGTGTATAACAGTATATAGAACTATACCTGCTATAATTGTAATCTAATCAAAAACACCTTAGGTGTGAAAAAAAGGTGTAGCTAAAAATGCAATGAGCGTGCAACTTAAAGGAATGAAATCAATTTTTGTTCAGCTTGGGGCATAATGGTGGGTAAAACAATATACGCAGCCTAGCTAACTAATGAATGAATATTTTCTGTACAATTATTATCAATCCTATAACAGTATAAGTATAGCTGCCAGTTTGGCCGCCAATTTTGATTTCATTTCCTTAAGTCGCAAGCTCACTCCTTTTTGTCAGCACCTTTTTTTCACACCTATGGTGTTTTTGATTAGATATTATGACTTTGTCAATACAATACCACAACAAGTAAGGATTGTTTGTTTGTTTTGAATTTCGCACAAAGCTACACGAGGGCTATCTGTTCTAGCCGTCCATAATTTAGCAAAGCAAGACAAGAGCGAAGGCAGCTTGTCATCACCACCCACCGCCAACTCTTGGGATACTCTTTTACCAACGTATTGAGCGTCACATTATAACTCCCCCACGGCTGAAAGGGTGCGCATGTTTGGTGGGACGGGGATTCGAACCTCCGACCCACAGATTGCGAGTCGAGCACCCTAACCACTTAGCCATGTCGGGCCTAGCAAGTAAAGAAGTGATACTTGATAGTAAAGAACATTAGCTTTAGGATCGCAACCCTATTATTCGGAACAGACCTTTACTTTAAAGAACCAACCAGATTCTTTAAAATATATGTATTGGTAGTTTTCCTCTCTAAAACAGCGTTGATAACTTCCTGTACAGTAACGCCATGGAAACTAGATTAACAGTTTCTTGTCATCACCCGCATGCACTCGGTACAACCGTATCAAGCATCATAATTTAGGCTAATTGCTTAAGCTAATATCATATGATGCTAAACGCTCTTTAATTATGATAATTTCATAAAATTTAGCAAATGTGTGCTTAAAAATTGGCAATGAACAATGAATAACCGTCCATCCGTATGTTTCTTTTGAAAACTTGAGCTTGAAACTGCTAATCTAGTTTGCTTGGCCTAACCAATGCTTGTGTATCTTCGCGTGCTTTAACACTATATTTTTGCTGCTCTAAATCAGCCGTCTTTTATCCGAATGACAAAAAATTTAAAACAGTCCATCTTTATTCTTAGGTGGAGCTGTAGTACAAAATTCAGACCGATAGGTTACGTGACTTTTTGCGTAGACAGGTCCAAAAATCTGGTCATAATTGATCAGTTTTTCTTGAATACCTTTACATATATGGATTATACTTAGACCAAAGATGACGCCTAATTGTAGGTTGTAAAGTTCTATCAGTGTACCAAATTTGTAAAAAAAAATCATGAAAGTTAAGTATGTTTTTCTATCAAATATATTTTCTGTACTTTCGATAGGAAGAAATTCAATAAAAATTGAAGGTTTTATATCTCGTGTACTTCTAACTTTTGGTATATGAAGTAAGGGTCCAGTAGAGCTCATCCACAGAAAATATGTGATAGTTTGGATCTCCACATTTCGAGCTAGAGAAAGTGGAAAATTGCTAAACTATTAATCCTGTTAATAACACAGTCTGTCCTGTAAGTTGTTTTGGCTGCACGACACAGTACCGCATGTCTTGATGTCGACGAGGCCTTTCGTACAACCAAGGCTCATGAGGCCAGCTGATATAGTAATGGTTGTGATACTATTTATATTATCAAATTGCATAAGCAATAACCGTTATAGAATGAAACAGATTAATTACCTTAAGTATAATTTTTATCCATTTAATACGAGTCATTTATAAACAAGAATTAATGTAAGGATTAACATTACATTATTCTTTTTTTATTATTTATTTATTTATTTTTATTTGAATGAACTTTACTCATCATTAGATTAACTGAATATTGCATATTCTGAATATTATGGAAACCTAATATGTTGTTAAAACTCATATGCCCGTCAGGTCCCTTCTTGAAGTTACCCTCGTTTCTCTTAGTCTGGAAGCTTTTACAGTAGCACGACTATTGATATGTTAATAAATATACATTGATATTAAAAATCATTTTACATATTAAATTTCCACTGAAAAATGCGTCTAAGGTGTGTTTGTCTTAAGCTACAAACACAGTTTATGTTATGTGAGGTTGGGGTTAGATTTCTATCTTGACATATCAACATATTCATTTCAGTTTACCTTTTAGTTGTTTTTCAATAATAGTTTATTTTACTCACCAAAAGCGCATATCTTTTATTAGATTAACTACGAATCTTGTGAGAATAATCGTTAATGTGCTATGTCTATCTATGTCAATCTGTGCGATATCTTAACATAGAATTAATTGTATTACACCACAGTAAGATATCCATATAACGATACTTTTCTGTATCCTCAGTAGTGCTTTGTGAAAAACCGAATCTATAAAGAGGGTCGTGCCCAGAGTAAAAAAAAAAAACAATGTGGGCCATCGCTAGTTTTTAGTTCCAAAGGCGTTTTTGACAAGTTTGTTAGGGATAGAGAAATAATTTTGATACACAGTAGGATATGATTTTGCTTTGTATATTATTTGCTTTTTTTTGTTCTTGTTGTTCTTTTCAATTAAGCTCACAGTAATAGTGCTTTGTATATCTATTTAGCACCTAACAGTTGGCTAGTTTGTTTGATTTAGTTTTAGTAAAGAAAATTAATAAATAATTTATGACATATATGGGTTATTGAATAAATTATATCATGATATACACTTTTTAATACCAATTACCAAATTGTTGAATATAAAATGTAAACGTTTGTAAGAAATTCAAACTGCAAAACTTGATTACTTCCATACACAAAAAATTGCTTTATTTCATTTTGAGTATATGGTAAATAATCCGTGTTTATGTCACAACTAAGTGTTAAAGGACAAAACCTCTGAAAGTCTTGTCAACATCGATATTTTAGTTGCTGTGCACGACCTCTTCCCCCACTTCTGCAACTCTCTTCTCCGGATCGGGATTTAGGTCATCGACCCGTGAGGGTCAGGCTCAAGTAGACCTCTTCCTCCCTTCTGTACGGTTGTTGTAGCTTTTTTTAGTGGTTCAGGTTTTTTTTGTTGTTGGCTGGTTTGATGTGGGGTTGATGTATTTCTGTTAGTACTTTCCTTTTCAGGGCCATGTCCGTTTTATGTTATCAAGTTGTATGTGTGTATTGTCCTATTTTTGGGTGTTAGTGTACTTTGGGTCTATAGTAGAAGTAGTAAGTGTGGTAATAATAATGTTAGTTCTTGTGCTGCTGTTTTTGTGATTATTGTGAATATATTATCTTTCTTTTGAGGGCTGTTATATTTTTCCACGGCTATTTTGAATATGTTTTTGATTGTCTCTACTACTTTGTTCATGAATTCCTATAGCCACATCTGCAAGCTGAACTGTGCAGATATCATTTAAAAATGGCGCCACAATAGTATTATGTGTGATTCAATTTTAAGTCATCGGGCATCACGGAATTATAGAGACACCATTCGCAATTACATTTAATTTTTGTTAGAATCCATTAACATACGCATAATAGGCAGTAATACTCACTTTGTTTGCTATGTTTAACTCCAACTTCAAGGCAAAAAAAAATAGCGAAAATTTATTAAAGTATGTACTTTTTATCTTGTACCTAAACAAAGCTATAATAAAACGTGTGTCAGTGTATGCTTCTTACAAGCATAAATGTATAATTCTCTTTTAAATAGAAAATGACTCATCTATAGAGCATACGTGAATGTTCTTCCTTATCGGCAACAAGGCAGCCACCTAACATTACCAACGTGTGTATGATTCTATCTTTTTTTTTACTTTGCCACATGTCAAATTATACTTATAGTTAGAAAAAAATTCATTTCTCTCTTTAAAATGTGGGCGCCAGGAACACCACCTGTCTACGACCATGTCCACAAGTACTTTACTGTCTTTACCTTCAACTACAGTGACCTTCAGTTCAACATAATAGATTTGTTCCACATCAACAAGGTGTAAATTACACTACTAAGCACAGATTTAATCAACGAAACGATCTGGGCACCATTACCTATTTATACACAGCACAAATACCTTCCTCAAATAACTTACATTTCTAATGATCAACCAGATTTTCTCACGTGCACGTTCCAGGTGTAACTAGCACTCCTAGTAATGAGGCACGAGATGAAATCGTGAAAAAACTAATATTTCTTTTATAACTCACCAGTTGCATTTTTAGTATTTAATCTTACGTATTGTACAAGCTTTTTCGTTTTAATAAACGATTAGTTCGGATAAATTAAACTTTCTGGGTTTTTTTTTTCAACTGCGATATGTATAAGCAACACTTTTTTAATGTATTGAAAACTGTCGTGTATAGTCCACAAAACAGACAAACAGCATTAATATTAAAAACGTCGTGAATTAGGTACACCTTGAAATGTTGAAATGTTCTAATGCTCGACTATTTGCAAAATTTACACTTTATTTTTAATTCTAGCAAATAGACAAAATAATTCTAATTAAATTACTGCAAATGGGATGGAGGTGGTGTTTATTTCATGTTTAAATAATAAATGTAGGGACTTACTTGACATCAAATCATCTATCAAGCTTTCGGAGAACGGCTTATACCTATATTAATTCCAAAGATATACAGTCAAGTTCATACAACAACTTTACGAACTTCCCACATGTAGGTTACAAGGTAAACGTGGACTTGCAAATGGCGACTCCACACATAACATGCGCAGAGCACTTTGTTCGAGTTAGTATCTTCTGTCGCTCGTTATGCCTGAGGCCTCATTCGTGTAACCAATAACAGCGCAGAAGACGAGATTCCGTGATTCGGATAGCCGAAACACTTGAAAAATGTTTAAACTTTTTAGTTTCAAATGTGTAATTTTTCTTTCGCTGTGTGATGATCAATATCAAAATACAAAATACGCAGCGCATGCGTTGTTGTTCAAACAGGCGTGAAATTCTCAAACAAAAGTAGAGGTACTCAGCTAGGTGAAGTGGACCTGTTTTTGAAATAGAAAATAAAATATACGTGTAAAGATAAATAATGACGAAGCAGCTCAAAAAATCCCGGTACCAGTACCGCCTTAAAAATAAGTTCCGGTACTCAGTATCGGTAAGTACCCGCAGGATTTTACCCCTGAGTTTAAATCGCCCTAAAAGGCTTTGTCTTCATGTAGTATAACATTTCGAAAACAAAAGAAAGAAAGAAGTTGAAAAAACATGGGAATGTATTGAACAACATATCCAAACCGCGTGCGACTTAAAAACATGGGAATGTATTGAATTAAAAACATGGGAATGTGTTAAACAACATATCCAAACCGCGTGCAACTGAAAAAACATGGGAATGTATTGAACAACATATCCAAACCGCGTGCGACTTAAAAACATGGGAATGTGTTGAACAACATATCCAAACCGCGTGCGACTTAAAAACATGGAAATGTGTTAAACAACATATCCAAACCGCGTGCGACTTAAAAACATGGGGATGTGTTAAACAACATATCCAAACCGCGTGCAACTGAAAAACATGTGAATGTATTAACAACATATCCAAACCGCGTGCGACTTTAAAACATGGGAATGTGTTAAACAACATATCCAAACCGCGTGCAACTGAAAAAACATAAGGAAATGTGTTGAAC